GCACTAGCAGACCAGGGAGATGTGGGCAGCGGGACCTCCAAGACGCGCCGCGGTCCCACCACCCGTGTCCTCTGCGGCTTTGTTCCGCGTCTCCGTGGTCTGCTGGGGGGCCCCCCCCAACAGACCAGGGAGACGCGGAGCAGCTTTTCTCACCACGGAGGATGGGCGGCACGTCTGGGCAGTCCCGCCGCCCGCGTCCTCCGGGGCAAGAAAAGCCCTGTTTGTATGTAGGGATCCGACATAAGTCAGATCCACGTAACTCGGGGACTGCCTGTACAGTAGATTGTGTTATTTGGTCACTATGTCAAAAGTAGTTGCAAAAATAGAGGAGAGCAGAGATAGGTAATGAAAACAGGAACATAAAAACAGCCATACTAGGTCACATCAAAAGTGCATCTAGCCCTGTATCATGTCTTCCAACAGTGGCCAATGACATAATGCCCCAGAGATAATGAACAAAACATATGAGCCAAGTGATCCATCCCCCATCTTCCATTACCATCTTATTGTAAACAGAGGCTAGGCACGTCATTTCTGTCCATCCCGGCTAATAGCCACTGATGGACCTAACCTCCATGAATTTATCTTGTTCTTTTTTTAAACCCTGTTATAGTCTTGGCCTTCACAACATCCTCTGGCAAAGAGTTCCACAGGTTGATTGTGCATTGTGTAAAGATTAAAATGAGGTATGGGCAGCCTCTCACATGAATAAAGACTGCAAACTTTAAAGCCTTTATTGTAGTGAAGAGATAGTGTAGAGAAGAGTTAGGGTAGGTAGGTAGGGTAGGGAAGGATAAGAGGAGACAAGATGGAGGCATACAAAATACTGGTATACAAAAGATAAAGAAAATGTACCTCTTGTCCTTTAATTTAAAAAAATTAAAAATGATAAAGGAATTTTTTTTTTCAAAATCCTTAAGTAATCTATGAAAATCACTGGCACTATTGAGTTGCTGGACTGGCTGCTTAGCTTGGACTGATGCAAACAGAACCTGCCCAGTGCTATCTCCACTCCAGCTGCAGACCTTCAATCGTGCCCATGCAAGTCTGGGACTCTGAATCCAAAGGAGTGCACACTCTGGAGTGGGATAAATGGTGGCAATGTAAATGCCAGTTAGACAAGTTTCCTTGATTTCTGTGTACTTTGTGTGACAGGGTCAGGCTGGAGGACTACAATAGAGGGAGGAAAGTCAGTTCTAGAAGGCAGCAACAGCCCTGGCTAATCAGGAGCAGGGGAGACAGGGTTGCTGTAAATCAATCAGGTCCAGCTGATCTCACTTGAGGCTGCCACTTAAATGAGGCCTTCCCTGCAGGGAGGAGGAGAGTGGGAAAAGAAATGGAGTGAGAGGAGACCAGATCAGGCTGGAGGACTACAATAGAGGGAGGAAAGTCAGTTCTAGAAGGCAGCAACAGCCCTGGCTAATCAGGAGCAGGGGAGACAGGGTTGCTGTAAATCAATCAGGTCCAGCTGATCTCACTTGAGGCTGCCACTTAAATGAGGCCTTCCCTGCAGGGAGGAGGAGAGTGGGAAAAGAAATGGAGTGAGAGGAGACCAGAGCAG